GGGAGAAGAAGGAGAAGTCGAACATTCTTGTTCCTCCATATTCTAATCACTGTCCAGTTTTAGACGCAGGAGTGGGAGCACTCGAACAGGAAACGAAAATTTTTATGCTCGTTCACTGACAGTAGGCTTCCTCTAAGCAAATCCCGAGGTCCTTAAATGTCCAAGCTCGACAAGTTTCAAAAAGCTTTAGCTGTTTAATGGGAAAGTGATGGGACGGAATATTCCAGCCCGAAATGCTATCCTAATGCTTTTTCGGCAAGAAAACATCTGGAGGGGAATTTCCCCCATCTAAATTCATGCTATCAGCGATGACATTGAGGCGCTACCTGGCGAAATAAGCCAGTGTACTTTTGCACAACACATCACACTGAACAATGAATCTGCTACAACTGCCCGGGCTCCTCCCGTAGCACGAAGATGGTGAAAATGGTAAGTGAATAACTCACGAAGCTCTGATTCCTTCCAGTAATCGAATCCTTCTGCGTGACCTTCTTCGCCTGAGGCTTGAATAATTTCCTTAATATCGATGACATTGGTGCGCTTGAGAAGCCTCACACGCATAAATATGCAAATTCGAAGCTCCGTTCCAGAGTTATCCAATGAATCCTGATGAAACAGGCTTCGACTAATAGCTCATGCAACAAAAGCACCGATTTGTATTCGTTTTTTATTTCGTAAACGCTGTCCTGTTCGCGTGCATCGTCCACCGAATCAGTGATCGTTGGTCGAAAGGACATAAAAATTTTTGACTACATTAAAGGAACTACGTGTTCAGAATAAACTGAACGGAGGCGCGAAAGAAAGGGTGAAAAGGCGACATTCCTATTTTTTGGGATATTTCCGCGAAAATACCAAGAACTGTCTGGAAAGTTGCCACAGCAACTGTCCAAACAGTTTTGGTATCCGATGTTAGTGGTGTTACTCTCACGCTCAATGCTTCATTATACTAAACTCTTCGCTGTTGAAATGCAAATCTCCAGTTCGTGCACAGCGCCGATCCGAAGCAGATGATGTATATTAATATATACTTTTACACAGCCAGGAGATAAAAAATTATGATAGAAGCGCTGAATAGAGTTGCAGTCGGTATTCCAGTAACATTAGCCGGTCGGATCACCGTCCCAACTCTTCAGATATTCTCGGTAATTATGTAACCTACATCCATTAATTTTTTGTACAAATGCTATTTGGAAATTATAGCTATTTTTCAACTCAATTTTTCAAAAGAAAAATGTGAAAAGTGCGTCTGCCATACCAAAATTTTCCGAAATCGACCCCGTCAAAAGAAGTACTGGCTGGCAGAATGGCTGCCCAACGGCAACGACGACGACGACAACGACGATTCGTTGATTTGTTCCGGTGGAAAAGTGTTTCGCGGAATTTGTATGAAAATTGCCCTTTAAGCAATTTCGCAACTGCATCTTTTTAAAAAGATTTTTTGCCCAAATTTTCCATTAAGTTGTAAAAATTTATCGTTGTTGCAAAAAATTAATTTTAATAAATGATTTCATGCGTCCTAACTTTTGCCTGAGGTTAAAGTAGAAGAAAAGTAAGTTGTCTCATTAGGCAGAAAACTCACAGCACCCATCCACCGTTACATGAAGCAACATTAGAATGTAGAATCATTTAGTTCTCGGAAGTCGAAGGGAATAATCTTGGAACGATGCCTAAGTAATGCCGCATTTGAAAATGATCTTTTTTACCCTCAACGTACCAGCGTTGCCGGATTACGCTTCCACTGTTCATGGAAGATAGAACAGGAAGAACCCTGTGCATGGGCTGGTTCAGGAAGTAACTTGGAGCAGCTGCACGCCTTCGCAGTCTTTTTAATCAATTTAGCTAGCAACTGTCCCATAAACGTAAATTCGCTTAATTGCAAAACGAGACACATAAAAACGCGGGCAATGGAAAATGCAAGCAGAATTGGCCTCGTTGATCCGTTGAAAGCATACGGTTAAACAACAAAAAAAAAAGGAAAACAGTTTGCAAACTACTGATTTCTGATAATTTTCGATACATTGGTCCAGCAGCTGCTCACCATCCAGCTACTGCAATAAAAAAGGCATGAGCAAAGTAATTAGCAGAATGTTCGGAAATGGTAATTGCAGGGACTGGTAGAAAGAAGTATTAGGAATGAATAAAGAAGGGAACGAGATGTGATGGAACAAATGAGAAGCGAGAACCTCCTGCTGCTAGTAAAGGATTAATGTCAAAGTTTCTTGACAATTTTTGCTAAATACCGGGCGATAAGCCGAAAGAAAAAAAGACGGCAAACCATGAGCATGCGAAAATATCATCTCGGTTGTAACAGAACAAATGCCAATGACGAGGCGTTTTCGAATGTGCGGAAACGCCGAGCACAATGCACGAAGGACGAAGGAATGCCAAAAGCGTATGCGCGATTCTTTGATTGATTTCAGACGATGACTCGGAATAGTTGCGAAGTTCGTGCAAGTTTTTCTCAATTAACGCCATCACAAAATTTGATTATTTGTTCATTGGAAAAAGATCAAAGTAGCCTAACGTACTCATCGATAACAACAATTTACTTTAAACGGCAAATTGATGCTTGGCGGATGTCAGGGAGCCTAGCTGCCTTTGGATGAGAAAAGCTCAAAACAGAGAAGAATGGAGAAGCTGCCAGCTGTATCAATGATGGAAAAAAACGTAATTGTAAAACAAAGCACTGAAGTGAAAAACAGTGGCAGCCAATTTCACCATAGGCTTACCAGCACAAACCCTATCCTCACTGATCTTATATTTAAATACCATAGCTTTGTCATTATTCGCTGGGATACCAAGACTGCGTGAGTCCTGTGTTAGTGATAAAAAAGAGTGATTATTGGAGCAACAGCAGAGGGAGGGGATAACAGGTAGGTGAAGTTTAAAAAAGTTAAATAGTGGAAGGAAATTATTAATAACATTTACTGGGATGCCCCAGTGGCCGCACTGGACGCACAACTATGCCGCAGCACTTTTATCCACTCTGAGTTCTAGCAACCACGAATTATTTATTAATTGAGAAGTGACGGCTTGATCACACTGCTAGCTCGCTGTCTTTCAGTGCGTTACTTAGGTGTTTTTTGTCCACCGTTTGCCAGTAGAACTGCCATAGGGCTTTTTTTTTGGCAGGCAATAAGCTCAGTGAATGCAACAAATAGCAATAAGACACGCATTCGAGCTGCACTGGAAGACTGCCGAATTGGATTGCTGAGTGGGGCATCGATGTGAAACCGCCAGTGCTACCGAGGTTTAAAAAAGATTAAAAAAAAAAATGCGTCACTACTAGGCAAAAAAAGTAAAGTGGAGGAAACGCGAAGAGAACAAATATCGCGCTGACAATGAACCACAGCTTTACTATTGTACGACAACGAGGTAGAGCTATGTCAGGCATTCTGCACCCCGAAAGAATTGTATGGAACTCGAAGTGCTGCAACCCCTTTCGCCTGGATGAAACTTGCTCTTGCTTATTATATCAGACATTCTAACAAATCTGAATATCTAGACCGTACGTGTATTAGCAGCTGAAGAAGCAGCGGTGTAAAGCAAGTTTAAGCCCATATCCTATTATCTTCTTCTAGGCTGTTTTCCCCTCTCTTCACCGTTCAAATCTCCACCATAATCTGGTCCCAAGAACTGAGTCGCATACACATCTTCCGAATGGCAGAAAGGAGGCTGTACTGATGATTCCCACTTCTATCCGCACACATAGCTTTGTCTGTGTCTACGACTCCGGAATGTAATACAGAATGCACTACGATTTGTTCTTCGGGTACATGCAGTATCTTGGTCCAAATAACTCGAACTTCTTGTTCAATGGTTTTGCTGTTTCGCACTGAGGCTTACTTTAGGCATTTCCTGCACGAAACTCAACCACTACTCCACAGAAAGCACTGGTGATTTACCAAGAATGCCAACATCACCCGCGCAACCAGTGTGACTCCTCCATGTTAGTGATGTTACTGAGATAAACGCATGCACGGACACAGCTATTCAGGTTCCTCGATTCTGAGCTACGAAGTACTTCATGCAGCAAAAATTTTTTGCTCCCGCTGAGAAGTTTCCGACATTCTTTCGTCTATGTGACGCTGATCGCCGAGTTATCCAGGTACCATGGGGAGGGAGCAACCAAGTACAAGAATCGTGACTACAGGGGACAAGTTTCAGCACTAGCAGAACTGAACTATGTACATCAGACTCACTGACAATAACGACTTCTGTTTTGCTCTCTCCTACAATTATGTTTTGCTTTGACTAATCTTTAACTTCTTTTAATTGTTGCATAATGATTTATTTACTGAGGCACTAGACTAAAAAACATACACAACTTAACGGACCGAAAGATCT